TGCAAACCCACAGAAACTCATTGGCTTCAACAAGAACGGTATGTATATTGTTCTCAACAACACTCTCCCTGCACAGCACACTATGCTTGCACTGCAATACGCTCTTACTTGGTTTCTCAAACTGTGTTTTTGTTGTTGTATAGTGGTATCCTCATGATACAAGATTAAAATGGATTTTTCGAGAAAACAAGCTCCACATTAGTTAACATTAACTCCTCTAACCTTAATTCTTCGGCACTCAGCCTTCCTTATGGTCCATTGTTTACAGCCATACATTGCCACTGGGAAAACCATAGCCTTGACTATACGCACTTTTGTTGACAGGGTGATGTCTCTGCTTTTTAGTATGCTGTCTAGCTTTGCCATAGCTTTCCTCCCCAGGAGCGAGCGTCTTTTAATTTCTTGGCTGCAGTCACTGTCTGTGGTGATCTTGGAGCCCAGGAAAATATAACCCCTCACTACCTCCATTTCTTCCCCGTCTATTTGCCAGGAAGTGAGAGGACCGGATACCATGATCTTAGTTTTCTTAATGTTGAGTTTCAAAACAACTTTTACACTCTCCTCCTTCACCCGCATCAAGAGGCTCTTTAGTTCCTCTTCATTTTCTGCCATTAGAGTGGTATCATCTGCATATCTGAGGTTGCTGATATTTCTCCCAGCAATCTTAATTCCAACTTGTGATTCATCTAGCCCCGACTTTCTCATGATGTGCTCTGCATATAAGTTAAATAGGCAGGGAGACAGTATACAGTCTTGCCGTACTCCTTTCCCAATTTTGAGCGAATCAGTACTTCCACGTCCAGTTCTCACTGTTGCTTCTTGACCTGCATACAGGTTTCTCAAGAGACAAATAAGATGATCTGGTACTCCCATCTCTTTAAGAACTTGCCACAATTTGTTGTGATCCACACAATCAAAGGCTTTAGCACAGTCAATGAAATAGAAGTAGATGTTTTTCTGCAATTCCCTAGCTTTCTCCATGATCCAGTGTATGTTAGCAATTTGATCTCTAGTTCCTCTGCCTCTTCAAAACCCTGCCTGTACTTCTGGTAGTTCTCGGTCCACAAACTGCTGGAGCCTAGCTTGTAGAATTTTGAGCATGACTCTGCTAGCACCTCCACTAGCTTTGTTGTTGCTAAGACTTCTTAAAACCCACTTCACATTCCAGGATGTCTGGCTCGAGGTCAGTGAGCACCCCATCGTGGTTATCAGGGACGTTAAGCTCTTTCTTGTATAGTTCTACTGTGTAATCTTCCCACCTCTTCTTAATTTCTTCTGCCGTTAGGTCCCTGCCATTTTGTCCTTTATCATGCCCATCTTTGCATGAAACGTTCCCTTCATATCTCTAATTTTCTTGAAGAGATCTCTAGTCTTCCCTATTCTATTGTTCTCTTCTATTTCTTTACACTGTTCATTTAAGAAGGCATTCTATTTGTAAAGCTTCCTCAGACAGCCATTTTGCTTTCTTGCATTTCTTTTTCTTTGGGATAGGTTTAGTTGCTACTTCTTGTACAATATTGCAAACCTCCCTCCATAGTCCTTCAGGCACTCTGTCTATCAAAGCTAATTCCTTAAATCTATTTGTCACCTCTACTGTATATTCATCAGGTATATGATTTAGGTCAAACCTGAGTGGCCTAGTGCTTTTCCCTACTTTCTTCAATTTAAGCCTAAATTTTGCAAACAGAAGCTCGTGATCTGAGCCACAGTCAGCTCCTGGTCTAGTTTTTACTGACTGTATAGAGCTTCTCCATCTTTGGCTGCAGAGCACATGCTCAATCTGATTTCTGTGTTGATCATCTGGTGATGTCCATGTGTAGAGTCATATCTTGGGATGTTGGAAAAGTCCACTGCTCTAGACCAGTGGTGGCGAACCTATGGCACGCATGCCACAAGGGGCACACAGAGCCCTCTCTGTTGGCTCATGAGCCAAGTCGACCCAGCATCGCCCCAGCAGCCGAGGATTGGATAACAGTGCACACAGGGGCCATGTGCATGCTCAGAAAGGAGTAGTGGTGCCAGGCGATGATGTCACAAGCCGCGACTCAATAGTCAAAACTCTTTCTGCACGGCCGGTCAGTGCACTGCCAAGGATATATATATATATTTGCGTGGAATAGCTGTGAGTTGTTTTTTCTAACCTAAAACCTCAGTTTTCAGGTTTTATTTCAGTGGTTGCACTTTGTGATGAATGAGTGGGTTTTGGGTTGCAGTTTGGGCACTCGGTCTCTCAAAGGTTCACTATCACTGGGTTAGGGTTAGAAAAATTAGGTGTCCTGGCATGATGGTGATGGTTGGAATGTGTTTAGAATGGGCAGAAATGATGAGCAGTGCAGCAAAACTACTCAAGGAAGGCTTCTTCAAAATCTCCCTCTTTCAATGGAACTTTAGCCCTACATTAGGGTCAGGGGTGTGCACCAGGGTAGGGTTAGGGTTGGAAAAACGAGGTGTCCTGGCACGATTTTGATGGTTGGAATGTGTTTAGAATGGGCAGAAATCATGTGCAGTGCAGAAAAAGCTACTCAAGGAAGGCTTTTTCAAAATTGCCCTTTTTTCAATGGAACTTTTGCCCTACATTAGGGTCAGGGATGTGTACCAGGGTAGGGTTAGGGTTAGAAAATGAGGTGTCCTGGCATGATATTGATGGTTGGAATGTGTTAAAATGGGCAGACATGATGAACAGAGCAGAAAAAATTACTCACGAAAGGCTTTTTCAAGATCACCCCTTTCAATGGTATTCTACCCCCATATTAAATCTAGGGGAGTCCACCAGGGTAGGGTTAGGCCAGTAGTGGCAAACCCATGGCATGCGTGCCACAGCGGGCACGCAGAACCCTCTCTGTCAGCTTGCGAGCCAAGTCGCCCCAGCGTTGCCCCAGCTGCCGAGCATCAGATAACAGCACACACAGGGGCCAATGCTACTGCTTGGAAAGGAGCAACAGTGCCAGGCCATGACGTCTCGAGCCATGACTCCTTAGCCACAACTCCGCTGAGCTTTCGCATGGCCTGCCAGTGCATTGCCAATTTGCTTGGACTGGGCACGAGGTGCTTTTTCTAAACTAAAACCTCAGTTTTCAGGTTTTATTGCAGTGTTGGCAATTTGTGACAAATAAGTGAGTTTCGGGTTGCAGTTTGGGCACTCGGTCTCTCAAAGGTTCTCCATCACTACTCTAGACTATTCCCCGGCCACACCCCTCACCACATTACTATTTTCTCCATCCAGCTCTGTTCCCATAATTACAAAATGGATAGAGGGAACCTTGTATAAGTTGGGAAAAGCAGAATGCCTGCTTATAAGTGGCTGGTTTTTTCCCTTTATTGGTGAACAAAAATAGCTTCACTTCTAAGTCCACTCAAGTTTGGTTCTGATCACTTTTCTCTTTCCTTCTGCCTAGCCCCCAGTGTTGGTACATGAACCCCAACAATTTTCAAACATCATATGGACCTTTACTGGAAAAAGGGTTCCACATTTTGTAGTATGATACGGACAACAGTGCTATCTTGCCACCATATAAAACCTCCAGCCAAAGAATATTGTGCACCATGTGAATATGCCATTTTAGTCCATTTAAGAACTGGTACCCAGAACCTGAGAACACTGACTCCGCTTTTTTTTCTCTGAGAAATTATGCTGGGGTATGAGAAAGAGGTTGCAGATGTGCCAACTATGAGTGATACCCATCAGATCTCAGTATCCATCAAGCAACAAAAGCCGCCGCCCCCCACCCCTTTCGTTTAACCACCTTTTAAATCAGTGGCGCTGTCTTCCAAATAAGCATGCATTAGATTGTTCGGCTGAAATAGGATTTAGCTGGACAAAAGGCAGAAAGTCGTATCACCATTTGCTAGGAAAACTGCCTCTTACGGGCTCGGCACACAATACAGATGCAAATTTTCTAGCAGCTCCATGTACTCAAAAACAGCAAGGGTTCGGTTTATGCAATCAGTGACTGTTCGCAGTTCGCAATTTACAGTGCTAGAGTCAGGCCGGCGAGCAGCGGTGCCCTGCCCGCCGACCCCGCTCGCCCCACCCGGGACTGACGCGGCCGCGGACAGCCGGTAAAGGAAGGGCCCTCACATGCCGCACTGCATGCTGGGAATGGTGGTCATGCTGATTTTTTAAACGTAAGGGCCTGGATCTGTTTCTCTCTTTCTTCTTCTTTTTTTGCCCCGTGTTGCTTTGTTTGGTTTGGTTTTCACCGAAAATAGGACCTAAACACCGACTTCATCCCGTCGCCTGGCGAAACTAGAAATCCATTGACAGCCCGCGACTGCCCTCAGACTCCGCGGCCCATTCTCACCGTGCGCATGCGTCTATTTCCATGCTCCAATCGCTGGGCGCACAGGCCGGGCAGGGCGCACGGATCGCTTCCGCGCACGCGCATTCCGTCAGATGATGCTGCACCGTCCCCTGAGGGACTCGTCCGCAGCCTGTATCTGCTTGGCAGCGCTCGCCGTCTCCTGCCCCTCCTCCCGCTTTTGTGAAGGCGCCTCTCCGGACACAGCGCCTGGGCTGCGGCGACCCCAGCTTGAGCGGCGGAGAGCTCCCGTGGCAGGTCAGCACCGCCGGCGGCCGCGAGCCCCTGCCCCCTCCGCTTGCTCAGCCGGGCCCGGCCGCTAAGCGGGGCGGCGCTGCTTAGCGGCCGGGCCCGCGGCGGCTTCCGCGCTGCTCGCGTGGCCTGTGTGCGGGGGGCGGGCACGTCGGGGGAGGGGGTGCTGGTCAGCGCCGTCCGTTCCCGCCGAGGGCAGGAGGAGGGCGAGGGAGCTGGTGCGTGGGCACCGCCCGGGAGCCGAGCTCCCTTGGCGCGGGCGCGGCCTCTTCCTGCTCTTCTCAGAGTGGCGGAGCTGCGGGCCCTTGGGCGGCTTTTGCACCCTCTTGATGCCCCTCTAGCTTCCCAAGGGACAACCGTGATTAGTCAATTGCAGCAAAAGCAACAAGCCTTCCTGCACAGTGAAGACTGCGGAACTTGTTAGAGGGACGCCTTGGCTTGCGCATAGGCAGCCTCCGCTGACGTTAAAGTCTCACTCAGTGAAGACCGGACAGATGAAACAGACATGGTCACATGCCACAGTCCCACTTTGCCCCCTGATCGACCGCAATAATGTCATTAGACATCCAAATGGCGCAGTCTATCACGCCTTTCTGTGGCAGTATATTTTGGACAACCTTAAGACAAAGGCTGGGCTGGACCAAAACTGTTAGGAAGCCTCTTTGCAAGCATTCTGATCTCCCTGGGCACAAATCCACAGACATTAAGGTAGCTGTTTTAAAGAAAATTATTTGAGAGGCTAAAAAGTGTTTGAAATAACTGAACAGCAACTTCTGCCTAAGTTTGGTCATTTGGAACAGAGACTGGTTTTATGCAAGGTAAAATGTTCCCATAATTTATAGTTATCTTCTTATTTCAGATTACTTAATACAACATATATATTATGGATACAATTCTAAATAACAGCAGCAAGATTTTTCTTTATAATTGACTATCACAGCTATCCAGTGCTGTATCTGATGAAGAAGGTTTTACCTACTTGTAAAGTTTAAGTGGAAAATCTAGTTGTACTTCATGTTAAAAGTTTGTATGTACTCTCTCTCTAAACTTACTATGACATAACCTTTTGTGAACTAGATTCCACTTAGTCTGATGCATGATGTTGCATCCGATGAAGTGGACTGTACTTCACAAGGTTTCTGCCTCTCTAACACTTTGATCCCCTTGCAAAGATTACCAAGCTTACCCATCGCTATTAGTAGGTTTGGGTGGGTGTGGCTAACTTGGCGTGGGATTGGCTTGCAAAACTGCAGTCCTGGGCAGACTGGATGTGAGAACTCTTGCATTCTTGAATAGTAGAAGGATTTGCTTCTAAATAAACATATATAGGACGGGTTGCATTGATCCAGGTATATTGTAGCTTTTTGTGACAAGATTGGGAAACCTAAAACAGTTACGTGTTTTAGTGTAGTTGTCACTGTCTGCAATAAAACAAAACAAAGAGGGCTCAGCTTAACTAAGGTTAGGTTCAAAATTGCTTAAAGTAGTGTATCTTAGAGTGCATTTCTCACTCCCTTTATTAATGTTGCACACATATATAGGCAACATTAATAGAGGCTCAGCCTGGTGCCAAGCCTATATTCTTTTCAGCACCAGGTTAAAACCTTTTTAATTAAGTGTTATTTTAAAAATTAGTATTTTAATGGTTTTAACAGTCGCTTTGGATTTGATTTATTTTTATTGGTTATATATTGTGTTATTGTATTGCCATATTGATTGTTTTTATTGGATTCTGATTTTAATGTTGTAAGCCATCCTGAGATGTTATACATGAAAGACAGCATATAAATGTTATTAATAAATAAATAAAAAGTTAGGACTAGGAGCTTCCAAAGCACCAGGTGTAATTCTGTGCAGGCTTGAACTCTGCACTTCTTATTTTAGAAGTTAAGTTTGAAAAACAGTTGTTTATGGGATAGTGTGTTTATTGTTTATCATATATCAGTTTCAAATTTCTGAATGTAGGTTTGTAGAATAGCAATTTACTGACACTTGCCCATTCTTTGCATTCCTTCTAATTCAGTGTAATCTTTTAAGAATCTTTCAGTGTCATCTTGATAAATTCAATGGAATATGGTTTAACTACTTAATTTTAAGTAGTTAATTTTAATTTTTAACTAATTTTAATTTTTACTTAATTTTGCTTAATTTTAATTCTAATTTTTGGATATACACATGTGCGTGCACACACACACACGCAACTAGATCTGATGAGGTGAATTTGTAGCTTGTAACTTTGTGCAATAAGTAAGCTGAACTATACCTTTGAATTTGTCCTCTCGTATATTTAGATGTTTGCTATGATAGAATTTTTCTTGGAGATAGGTTTGCATTTCTCTACTGTAAGAATACTATTTTAGTAGAGGCATATGTTGCAGTTTAACACTCTCCATTTTACTTTAGCAGAGAATCCACAGACTTGAACAGCATGACTGGTACCCAACAGAAAAGCAGAAATTTGGTACCTGATACTCTGGGGGAAATGCATAATGTTAAGGTCCATTCTAGTCTTTCATAGAATTGTACAATTATCTATGCCAAGAAGTTATATTTTGTGATATATTTACATAAGGACCTTTCACTTGTGTTTAGATAAGTTTGCATATAATCAGTGTCTTTTTGCAGGATTCTAATCATGTCTGATAAAAGTGAGCTGAAGGCAGAATTGGAACGTAAAAAACAACGTCTTGCTCAAATCAGAGAGGAAAAGAAGAGAAAAGAGGAAGAGCGAAAGAAAAAGGAAGTAAGAACTTTTTAAATTCAATTGCTAGAAGATTATTTCCTTATTTGAATAGTTAATATAGACAAATAGTGATAGGTTTAAAAAACAATTAGATATCTTTTATTTAAAAGAAGATACATTGCTCCATGTAATCTTAAAGAATTAATTTGATGTAAAGTCTATGGGGAAAAGGTAGAAAACCTTTCATTTCCCTGCCTGCCTGCCTGCCTTCCTTCCTTCCTTCTCTCTCCAAGCCATCATATTTCTGGACTGCATGCATTTAGTGACTGCACACAATGCAATGGTGTGTCAGGGATCTGGAGAATCCTGGTGTCTCATTAGTGAGCATTGTGCTTATTCCTGACTGCTCCCACTTGGCTCGCCCTGCAAGCGGGAGCAGCTGAACAAATTGTTCATGCTCTGCCTAGAGTTGTATTGTGACATCTGAATCAGGAACACAAGCTTGTATTTTTCCCAGGCAAGCCAGAGCCAAAAGCCAATAGCAAACCTTGGCTTAAGACTGTGACCTGGTTTCCATAACTGCAGGTTGAGTTCCATAACTACCCTCATTAAGATGTGGCTTCACATGTTGTCCAAAACCAGCAAGGTTGGTAAAAAAGTACCCAGAACCCATGGACTGTTGCAGAGTTATTGTAATCTACCCCAGCAAGCTACCCTTGCTGTGTTTGGACAACATGAGAAGCTTTATGGTTAACAACTCATAGTGGGTTGTGATAATCTTGCAATCCAAGTCAATAAATCAGTTTGCACATCAAGGTAAGCTGCCATGGCTTCATTGATGTTTTCCTGGTAAATAACCTATTCACATACTGCTCACGGGTGCAGTAATGAAGGCTCAGCTGGATGTCCTCTAGATGAGGGAGTGACACTCTTTCACTGCTCAATTAAGACCCCTCCACACTTCCTGTACAAGCGATCCCCCAATGTGGCTCCTCTTTTTTCAAAGTAATTTTAGAGAGACATAGCTAAAAAGGCTTGCCCTAGGCCTGTTAAGTGTTGTGGTGTGGATGTGCCAGCATATATGCATTCTCGGATACCAACATAGCCCAAAGAAAATAGTGCTCAATTGTTGTATATATTCCCTATACTTTTTCTATACCAGTGTTGTTGGCTGTGTGTAGCAGGATGCTCTCCTTGCTGAAAGAAAATAGTAACATTAGGAATTTGAAGAAAAACATGACAAACAACTCCCATAAATGTTATACCCATTGGGCACAACAAATCAGATAAAATTCAAAATATAAGTTTTTACTGTACTTTAAAACCATTGTAGTCATGTTTTTTTGTTTGGCTTAGCAAAGCCTTATAAGAAAAATTGTACTTGAGATTTTTGTTTGACTAGTGGAATGAAAGTGTGGCGTAAATTGTGGGCACGTTTGGCTAGACTCAGGGAGGTCTAGTTCCAGATTCCTTGCTCAGCAATGCTGTTTATTGGCTACCCCTGAGCCAATCACTTCTGTTCTTGCAGTAACCCTGAAAGATAGGTTAAGAAGGGGAGACTGAACATATGCCACTGTAAAGAATATGTGGAGGAAAGCTGGGATATAAATGTAGTACATAAAATAAATATGCACTGCTCCTTTATCTGTGTTCTGACCCTTATTCAGCTGCTTTAGTGAGTTTTAATATATTGGGACCAAAATTGGAATTTTTTTTGTACACACTTGTAAACATCCCTTACGTGCACAATTGGTGGGGATGATATGCAAGCTTTTCAGAAACAAGAGGTATGAATCTTGGTCTCAACTTCAGCAAAGCGTTTAAGATATTGTGATAATAAGCTTTGATGAACCACGTCTTTTGTAAATAATTTCAGTGTACAAATACTGTACAATTAGCAGGTATCTTTTAATATAGTGAACTATCTGTGATTACAGAAAAAATAATTGTTTGCTTTCTGATGGGTCATTTGAACTAGTAGGCTTTGATGTTGTTTGGGTAAATACAAAATTCTATGGATTTCTAGTATTTTATGAATACCTTGCAGGAGAAAGTTCATAATGAAATCCTAAAATTATTGATTAACATGTATTTCATTGATGGAAAGCTAAGGCAGAAGGAGTGAGCACTTTGTATGGTCCTTCCAAAATTCAGAAATCACTGGTAGGGATATTTGAGAAATTGTCTCAAATTATTTGTCTCCTGCTGATTTTAGGATTGCCAGTGTTGGCATGCTGAAAAGAGTTCAGAGGTAGGCAGAATGTAAAGCTGTTGAGTTGGAGTAGTTGGAGTTAATGAACCAATTTGATGCTCTGTGTACTTGGTTTAAATGGGTAGCCATTTCGCTGTGTAGAACTATCATTCCTCCCATACCACTGTAGCTCCTGTAATTCATGTGCAGAGAGCAGTATTTGTCATGGGATAGGTGTACTTAGATCCTTTTTCCCAATGGGATTCTACATTTATTTGTGAGTCTGGCTTTATTTGAGAGTTCGGAGAGCCTTGCTGGATCAGACCAAAGGCCTACCTAATCCAGCATCCTGTTTCCTACAGTGGCCAGTCAGATATTTATGAGAAGCCTGAAGGAGGATGTGAAGGCAAGATACTTTTCTTGCTGTTGTTTCTCAACAGCTGGTGATTATGCTAATTTTGGACATAGTAAATTGTCATTATGAATTGTTGCCATTGGTCGCATTCTTCATGAATGTGTCTTTTTATTTTTTTAGGCCATTGAAATTGGTAGCCATCACTGCATCTTCTATGGGTTAAATCCATAATTTAATTCTGCACTGTGAAGAAGCTCTTCATTTTGTCTGTCCTGAATCTCCATTCTTCTCCATTGGTTAACCATGGGTTCTAGTTTTATATGAAAGGAAGGCAAACTTACCTCTTTCTGCTCTCTTCACAACCTGCATAGTTTTATTGATTTGTAACACATTCCCCCCTTAAAAATAAGAAATCCACATGTTACAGCAATTTCTTACAGGGAAATGTTCCAGACTCTGGATCATTTTGATTGACCTTTCATGTCCCTTTTCTAACAATAGAGTATCATTTTTTTATATATTCAGGGTGTTTCATAAAGTACGCAGTTTTTAAAAATGCAATAAATCCACCAAAATCGAAGCAAAATTCAGAATTTTTATTTAATTTCATTCAATGTATACTTCGATTTAATAATGAAAAATGATATCAAGCGTATGTCCACCTCCACTTTCTCTGCAGGCAGTCATCCGATCATTGAAATTAATGATAATTCTTTCGCAGACGTCCCCATTGATTTTGCCAATTACCCATATGGTTTTGACCAGGCGATTTTCTGGTTGCATCTGACCCAGATTCTTCGAATTTCTGTACTAACCTCAAAACTGTTGTTGCGGTAGGGGCATTGTCACATCCAAAGATCACGTGAAGTTTACGGACAGTCTCTGCGTAGCACTCCCCATTTTTGTAATGAGTTTTCACAATAAGAATGTGTTGCTTGATACTGAACCGCTCCATGGCTACTAAATGGAGAAACGACAAATGGTCTTCTAGTTGGAGTAATAATAGATAACGAAAATGATAGGAACAGTGCTGACAATCTTCCAATAAAAAAATACCACACAATTCAAAAACTGCGTACTTTATAAAACACCCTTTATATAAATATCCATTTATATACCACCTCCTATGGAAGTCTCAAGTAGCCAGGACCATACACAATATTCTAAGTGTGGTGAAACCATAGCTTGGTTTGTAGAAATGTATTTTGATACTGGCAATTTTCATTTGTATTCCTTTCCTAATAATTCCGAGAAGGTGACATTTTCACAGTTGCAGCATGCTGCATCCATGTTTCATTGAGCTATCCCCTGTGACCTCATGATCTCTTTGCTACTCAGTTCTTGTTAGCTCTGACACCAGCATTATGTGGTTAGGATTTCCTACTGAAGTGTCCATCATTTTACATTGAACTAGATTTGGCATTTTATTATCCATTCATCCAGTTCGAAAGGAACCATCAGTGTACATGGAACAGGCATAAAATTAATTTGTCTGTGATTTTCTAGATCCTCCCCAGATCCCTTTAAATAAAATTGGTGCTGCATTGGCTATTTTCCAGTCCTCTGGTACAGAGGCTGATCTGAACAAGAAGGGACACGTTTTTGTTAGAACTCAGCAATTTCAGTTTGAATTTCTAAGAAATCTTGGATGGAAACCATCTGCCCCTGATGATTTGTTAATTTTTAATCTGTCAAGAAGGCCAGAGTTATATCTGATGTCACTATTTGCCTCTTTTCTCCAGATCCTTTCCTCAAAGAAAGAATGCCTACCTTTCCTCCTCCATATAGGAGACAAATGCAAAGAATTCATCCAGCTTTTCTATAATCTCACTTTCACTTACATAACTCTCTTACCCAGTGATCCAACTGCCCTTCTAGCTGGTTTCCTGTTTTAATATATTTAAAGATTCATTTTTTATTTTTTGTCTTCACTTATAGGGAGTAAAATATAGGGGTAAAATCAGCTCTTAACAGTTTTATAGAAGCTATTAGTCATGTTTGCCTAGGGAGGTTCTTCTCTTTATCTATGTACAAACTTGTGCTTTTTTTCTTTTTCCTAGTTCATCAGCATACTGCCAGTTCATTTTTCATTATGTATTAATTAGGATGGTGAATTCTTATTCTTAAATGCATTCATTTATAATTCATGTACAGTAAAGAACTAAGTGGAAAATTTTGAGCAGATGTTGTTGCACAAAATCACTGGTGCAAATTGGGTTCCCATTCTTAGTACCACTGCCAGAATTTAAGCAAGTAGATCTAGGGGGAGTTAGTAAAAGCTGCATTTTGCTTTTTGGCTGATTAAACTTTAAATAAATTAAAGTTTATTCCTGTAGAAGAGGGGTGGACAACCTGTGGCCTTCCACAGTTTTGACTTAACAGTTCTCATCATCTCGCACCATTGGCTTTCCAGGCTAGGGCTGCTGGGGGTTGTGTATATGAAAACATTTGGATTGCCACAAATCACCTGCCTGTATTGTAGAAACAGCTACCCAAATTCTATTGTAGAAACATCTACCCAAATTTGAGTCACACCCTTCAAACCTCTTGCCCTATATGGAGACAAAGAAATGACCAGAATAGGCACAAATAATTCTGCCTGCTCTTCTTTCTCCCACCTGACTAGCCCTTTGCAAGGCTATTGTGCTAAGCAGCCCACAAGATAAGACTCTTAGTGAAATAGATATGGATTTCTTATCTTTATCACCATTTCTATGAAATGAAGTAGTCTGTTTTTCTTTAGAGGCTCAATCCTATACATCCTAAGGCAGTACAAAGATCTCCAACTTCCAACATGGCTGGCTGGGGCATGCTGGAACATGAATGCCTTTTTTCTGTCTTGACATGCATAGGAATATATCTTAAATAAGGCAAATTGTGTGCATGAAAATGTTCAGTATCATTAATTTTGTCATTTAAAAAAATATCTAGACTGATCAGAAGAAAGAAGCTCTTCCTGTGCAAGATGAGTCTGACCTTGAAAAGAAGAGACGAGAGGCTGAAGCCTTGCTTCAAAGCATGGGTTTAACACCAGAAGCACCTATGGGTAAGAATTGTGAAGAAAATAGATTGTGCAAATGTCCCTCCTACCAATTGTGGCACTAATATTAGCATGAAAGTTGAGTTGTTCACTCATGCATGTATCTGTTGTATGTTCATGACTGCCACAACTTACCTTGTGAAGCCTCTCAGCACTCCCTGCTATGTCAGATCTTGAGTATACCATACACAGATATAATGGAGCTCTTACTATTACCCCATAGGCATCATTAACTCAGAGTTTTAGGACTATACCTTTATAAAACTAAATGACTCAAGTATCTAGGATATTAAAGTAATATGAAAGCAGACAAATGCACATTCATTCAGTGAATAATCACAAGAGAATAGCAAGACCCATTGCTATTCATTATTAACTGCTTAGATTCAGAATAGTGCCTTCCATTCACAAAAGAGGGAGTGTCCTGCAGGTGGAGTTCTGCTTGTGGAAACTGTAGATTAAAGCCAACATCTTTGCTATTCCTTGAATATTTCTTATGGTATTGAAAAACACTTTAAACTAGCAAGTGCAAATAAGTGTATTTTCATCAATTGACTATATTTGCAGCTGAAACTCCAAGCTTACAAATACCATAATACTTTTAAGGACAGTTATTTCCCACACATATCTAGCAACTTCCTTTTAAATGAACAGTGATTAAAATTTTAATAGTTTCTTGCAAGGTATCTGTAAACCTAGAAAGAGAGTGAAAATGTTGCCACAAGGTGGCATTGCAACATTGCAAGAAACTTCCTGAGAGTCTACATATGCAGCTACTTTTTCCTCTTCTTTTAAAATGAACCAGTTTCTTAACTAGTAAAAGCCATGCATTTTTAGTGCAATAGTAGAAATGTTGAAACTCGTTTACCATTGTTTACCATTATGACTACTTGAAAATATCCATGGGATTGTTAAGGAGAATATATTGAAATGTAAAAACATAGATAGAATTCAGTAGCCAGACTTTTAACCAAAAATAAAACTGCATTACTTTTTTAGTATAAGAGCTGTGGAGCTACTGATAATAGATGAAATCACTGATTGGAGAAAAATACCTGGAGTAAATTGACTGCAGTTTCAGCTCCAATGTAATTAGATTGTGGGCAGTTCTGCTTTTCATTTCCCACTGAGTTCTCGGGTTAGGATAATTGAGGAAAGTTTTCAAAAAGGTTAACATTCTGGCCCCTATAGAAAGAACCATTGTAAGTAGGTAGGTTCTTCTGTCTGCTTTCAGGGAGATTTCCCCATCCCCCAAATGGCAGTTGTTTGTACTTTGTAGGAGAACGCTCCTGAAATTCCTGCGTTCCGGGACCGGTTTCAAGTGGTTCAGTAGGAATGGCCTCATCCTCTGCAGGAGCAGCTGAGGATATCATGTTTAGCACAGCATAGCTAGCAGCACCATTTCGTGCATCTTTACTCAGATATAAGTCCTATATTGTTCAGTGAGTCTTATTTGCAAGTAGTTATGCATGGGATTGCAGCCTCTGGACAGTGTCCAACATTGCCTATATACCAGCAGGAGGCTAGCACTGCCTAAAGCAACCAGAAACGAGCCAAAATGCTGCTTTTGGAATAGAGCATGCCCACAGATTTAGCTGAAGGGAACACTGCTGGCACATCCCTTTCTAAAAACAAGCATTTTGACTCATTCTGGGGACGGCTGTAGGTGGTAGTAACTTCCTGTTGTCCTGGGGTGCATCCTGCAGGCACTAGTACTCAGTGGAGGTACAGTTGCAGCACTGCATGTTGCTCTAAATGTCAGAAACAAAGTTCTTTAAAACGTTTTCGGTGGGTGATTCAGTGTGGCTATCTGATCTAGTGTTCCATGTACACACATGAGCTCCATGAGCACATGAGACGTCTGTGCATGCAAAAGTCCTTATCCTCCTTAATGTGAGCTACATTCATTCATCATAATATTATGATTACAACATTTCCGTACTGCCTGTAGCCAAAGTTCTCTGGATGGCTCACGATATTTGAGTCACCCATCCAGATTTGACCCAGGCCCAACCTTGCTTGGCTTCCATGATTAGAACAAGATATATTCCTGTGCATATGGGTATGTAGTGTGTACATGGAGCTCCCATGCTCTTTGGGAACAGAGTTAGTTTCACAGAAAAACATTTACTATGATGTGTATTAGTGAGAAGAATTCTCAGTTTTACAAAGAATTTCATAGTATAGAACTATTTTTTTACCATTTGATTTAACAAAACCCAATTAGTTCTTAGAAAAACTTAACACTGATTTTATTAAACATATGCTAACCCAGCTAAAGCAAGATTAGTTCTGCTTAACAGTCCCATTCTGTTGTTTTTGAAGATTATACTACTTTATATCACATTGGGTGATCACATTTTTAATAGTTCCTATGCTTAAAGGAGAATTGCTGAAAGGAGTGGGATGAACACCAAGGAACTTTCTGCATTGCTGGGGGTGGGGGAGGAATTGAAATATAATATTCCTGAAGTGTGAAGTAATATAGTAGTTCATCTGCTGCATTGAGATTCTACCTGTGTTCACCCTGGTCTATGTCCCACTGAATTGAAAGGGATTTACTTCCTGTTAAGTGCTTCACAGTGTAAAGCTTATTTAATCTGACAAGAAGACTGCTGCAGTATGTGAAGACTAATTCTTCCTGTTGTTAACCAACCAACAGATGGCAGTAGTAATCAGTTAAAATTGTAACAAAGAACTTTGTACAGCATAAATAAAATGTCTTTTTTAAAATCATCAAATAATTAGTATCCAATACTTTATTATTTCAGATTATTTGGTAACATTGAATAACAATACATTGAAAATCCACTTTCAGCTTTCCCAGTTCTTTTAGGGCTGTGGTAGAATAAATGTTTGTGTAAATATACTTTCCAATAGCTTAAACTTATATCTTAATATACTGAAAATACTGAACAGTGGTTCTTGACAAGGCATGCCATTTTTCAAACCTTCATATTAATGACAAAGAGAATTCATTCTCTTTCTGGAAATATTACTTATATTTAGAAGTTATATTTCCAATTAGAACAGTTCCTTTGTATAGGTCAGAACATCTGTTCATGAATTCAGTTGCATCTTGTTCCTACTACTTTAACCATGGTTTAGATCCAGAGTGTCCTTTATTTAAATGGATGAGCATTTCATTCACAGAAGGGACTGGGATGCAGCCAAGGCTCCTGCTAGAGGCAGGGAGAGCCTATTTTATTTAATTCCCACTTCCTCAGTACCAACTTCCATGCTATAGGGCTCCCCAATCTTCCAAAGCAGCTTTTCAGTAGGCTATAGAGTGAAGGAAGAAACCCCTTTTCCCTCTGTCTTCAGTGAAAGCATCCCAGGAGTGGAGTTCTATATATAGGAACTCTGATGAAGAAAAACTATTTACTGTAGGAATGTTTTGCAATGAGAAATGCAGTTTTCCATAAAACGAATTGGTACATTGATACTGTATCACTGTGCTGCTTTAATTGGTGGAAGTGTAGTTGAGCAGAGGAAGAAAAAGTGTTTTAGGCTGAGTGCTGCCACTTTTCATTTTTCATTCTAGTGAAACAAATTACCCTTTAAAGAAATTTGTAGGGTTTTGTTTTTTTTAATAAATGTTCCACCTCATAAATTGTGGCTTAGCTGAACAGAATCAACAATCTATTTTTATTAAGAAGTTATTTTTATAAATCTATTGGGGCTTACTACTTGCCTCCTCCACCCCAACAATCATTGGAGTTAAAAGCTATTGCAAAATCACATTCATTATATATGAAAAATTACTTCCCGCATCCTCCTATTACAGCAGGAGCTTCCTGTGAGTGGACTTCCACTCATGGGAAGTCTGGCTGTAGCTCACTGTATATTTTAATGACTTTTTTAATTTCTGGGGAGATAGTTTGTTAGCATAGTACTAAGAAATTGTAGTAGATTCTTCTTTATTTCCCAGCATTTTGTATAACTTATACTTTTATTTATATAACCCCCAAATGCATTAAATGCCAAACGTGCATGAATCTCCAGCATGATATGTTAACATTGTCTTTTCCCCTTTTTTTCTATTGTTCATTTTCATCCATTTTCTTTGTTTATTTTTGTTTACCATCACTTTTCTAATGCTTCCATGTTAAATTAATTTGGAAACATCCTAAGCTGTGCAACCTCTACGACTAGTAACAGCGGATACCTGTCTGTTTCACTATTTAGTCCCCCCTCCTATGTCACCATCCTCAAAATCTGTGAGCACACCAAGTGAGGCTGGGAGCCAGGATTCCGGTGATGGCGCTGCTGGTTCTAGGTATGCTTTCCGAAATACTTCCGTATTGAATATGTTGTGGTCTTGATAATATACAGTATTAAGACAGCTGTTGCATAACCAAAAAAGTATTGCCTCTTGCACGTTATGCCACAATCTTTTAGGATGTTATAGAAGGCAAGGAGCCTTCCAGCTTCTCCCCCCGCCCCACCCCCAAGTGCTCTGCTCAGTATCCAAAACAGGAGTCCGGTACACATTTTGTTTGCCTGCCTAGCTTTGCTTTTCTCCAGTCCATGGCTTCAGGCAAGAATTTACTTTGAATGTTACTAAACTCCCTGCCTGAAACCCTGAATTGTAGAGGGAGGAGTGTATAGGGGAATTGGAAGCATTCAGGTGTCCAGTTCCATTTAATGATTAGTGTGCATAAACCAAAGAGGATGCAGTACAGTTTGTAACCTACTGTAGTTTGATGATTCACATAGCTTACCTGCTGAAGTTTGTCTAATGTTGCATTTTCGATTGAAGCTAATTTGAACAATATGTTAATTTAGATTTCTGTCTTCACTTCTAGAGGGAAAATAAGTAATGTATACTGCCATCAAATCTGCATATTTTATACATATTATATTATGTCTTAAAATACCCTTGTACTTGGTTTTATATCAAGCAGATGTTGTTGTGCTTTGGTGATTGGCAGATCTATCAATTGCACCACCAGGGGTGGGGGGAAGGGACAGGAGCTTTAGTGGTTTACTCAATCAGCTTTAACTCTGGCTATATCAATTTGTCCTTCAGAATTGGTCTTATTCAAAACTTGCTGTAATTTTTGTGTATAGTTGGTGAATCCTTATCTCTTTATTGTCTCTTGTTTTAAACTGTTCCTATATTCTCACTCATATCTCTGAGCAATGAAAATGTAAAGACTTGGGGAAAAGAAGCAGAGCACGGGGAATTCTAAAACTTTCTGAAAATCCCTGGGCAGAAGGGGAGGAAGGCCTTTTTGTTTGTTTTTAAAATCTGGTTCTTCCTTCCCTCCCATTTTTTCCAGGGATTCTCCCCCAGACTTTCATACCTCTACTAATGTTCACGTGTTTTACTTCAGGACTGCTAAATCTCAATTGTTGTACATGGTCTTATGTATTTGACCCTATTTATTTATTTTATTGTATTTCTATATCACCCAACAGCTGAATTGCAAGCTCAATTGCAAGCTAATGTCATGTTCCCCAATGATGTGAGGTTAAGTAGCCTGTATTTGGGTGGTGAATTATCCACTGGAGAGTCCTGTCACTTCCTAAAAATTTGTATTGTTGGTACATACAGTTCATAAGATTGACTTTCTTGGCTAAGCTGTGTACATGGGATGTACAGACCTTGTTTACATAAAATGACAACCCCTGGGTTCTGGTGTGCTAGTGGGAAAAAGCAGGTGTGCCCAACACTATTGCTTTTACTCAGTCGCGTATTGGCTCATTTGTAGATTGAGTGTGATGTCTCAAGGTGGACCAGTGCATTGCTTAGAGGCTAATCAACTCAGCAATTAACCCATGGTTGATTGTTAGGTTAATTGTGTCATTAGCTCCCAAACAACCTTTCAGTCCAGGTTGTCACACTTAACATGTCATGCTCAGCAACATATGAAAGAGTAGGTTCTTGAGCAGGAGCAGAAGTGGCAGCACACCTGCTCTCTCCAACTCATCCACAGTTGGACATGGTTTGTCATTACATGTGAACAGGCTGTGAGTATTAAGCTGAAATAAGATGGTCTTCACTAGATATTTTTCTCCTTATCATTCAGCAGTAAGACAAAGGTTTATGTCAGTACCTAGGACTTATGCAATCATAGGCAATCCTAATTTAACATGGGTATTTGGCTGGATACAGTCATGCACATATCATAAGAAGAAAATTAGCCCTGGTATGGTAATTGACTTGTGACTGTTTTAGAAAAGAAAAATTATTGTATATCTGACTAAATTCCATGAAACAGCATTGAGTTTTGCATTTCACAATAAAATAAGAAAAAGTGTAGTGCTATAAGGTAGGAGATATATAGTGCATGCTTACAGTGACTGTCTCAGTCCTGAAACTCATATAAACCCAGCAATGGAGGAGCCAGAAAAGTGGTACCGGATGGAACAGTTGCTTTACTAAGTTAGCTTTCATGATCAACATTAGTCTAAATGGATGCCAGGACATTTAAATAGCAGATTCAAGAAAGTCATAAAGGGCAAAAAAGTTTCCTTGTAAAAGTAGATGTTTTGTTAAGCAAGCAAAAACAGAAAAGTACACATTTTTCAAAACATTCATGTCAATATGGCAAGCAAACAAGGAATTTGAGGAACATAATGCTAAAGGCATAAAAATGACTAAGACACATTTGTTGATAGATATCAGGTCCAGGAAACCTGCTGGTAAGATGATGGCACCTTTAGATAAGAAAGTACTAGTGAAGGAAAGAAAAAGTTAACAGATAAAATTGTTTACAGTAGTTTAAGTATGAATCTGAGAAACTACGTTGGATAACAATGAAGCATTAGATAAACGACAAATCAATGAGTCTTTATAGTGCAATTGTTTCTTCACTATTTTTTGTTTTTGCTTTTTTTTTTGAGGATGTGAAATTACTAGTGTAATAGTTAGGATATTACTAACAAAAATGTGCAGCTTTTCCGTAAAACTAGACTTCTTAACGAGTCTGAAGGGATGTGACTGATTTGGGAAACTATGCCTGACAGACAGTACTAGCTGTGATAGTGATTTCTACCAATTTACCTGGTACAGAAGTTAGGTGTACGCTCTTTATTAAGTATAAAATCCTATAGGCTGGGTTTGCATGCTTGCGGAAGGATTAGATGCCACAACAGTTGTTTTTCCACTACATGCATTCTTGTTACATGCCAGTTCATTGCCAAAATTACCCCCACTAGGCACAGGTCGCCAGGTTGTACAAACCCAACAAAATGTGGGTGGGGCTTCCAAACCACTGTGCAACTCATTCATTCATTTCATACATTTATATGCCACCCCATAGCCCATAAGGCTCTCTGGGCAGTTTGCAGTAGAACAAAAAATACATATTCTATAAAAATACAATAATAGAGTAGAGCAATACAATCAGGTAATACAATATTTAACTGTAAGCAATACAAAATCAAAACAAGCCTTAATGCAATAATATAATAATGCAATATATAATACAATGAATAATATCAATAGTAAGATATAGCTATAATCTGCCCAAACTCATGGCTTGTTCTATGGTCCTGGGGTGGTTTAGAAGTCACTGCTGCCAACCATCTTTGCTAGTTTTGGGCAACAAAACAGCCTGTGCTTGGTACAGATAATTATGGAAATGAGGTGACCCAGAACTGGCATGGGTTGTGAGGAGAGAGAAAGAATCCACTGTGGCTTCTTTTCATTTCTTGATTGTGCAAACATTACATACATTCAATTAATGGTGTACGTCTGTTCTGTGTTAAATAAATTGGTAGAAACCAGTAGTGTTGTTAAAGCTAGTTTTGTCTGGCAGATCATAAGCCAATTAGGTGTTTTGTACCAAATGTGAAGATGATGATCTGTGGTCCCAGGGAGTCTTTGAGCATAGCTCTATCATGGAGAGATCTAATAGAACAGTCTGCCCTCAAGCTTGTAGATCATGTAGAATCCTAAGCTGCCCATGAATAGTTTTCAGCTGATGTATCAAGTTTTTCTATTACTTGACTTTAGAATTCTGAACTCACCTTGGAAGTTGACATGATTGCTCCTTGCAGGCTTCAAGCAATAGACTCGCCATGGTGTCTGTGGTGTCATTCTCAAGCCAGTGTGAAGAGTGGCCTGTCTTCAGAGCTGCAGGGCTGAAAGGGATCATTGAAGCACTTATGCATCTAAATTTAGAGCGGGAGCGAGGGATTGTGTTGTAGCAGCAAAGGCCAGTTTGGGGAGCATTGCTTCTCAAAGGCATTTGGGACAGCAGATAGCCAGCAGTGCTCCACTGCCAATTAGCCTTTCCTTTGGAGCAGGATGCCTGGGAAATGGAGTGTTGCGCATTACAACACAAAGGAGCTCTGTGTACCTTTTGAGAAGTGGCATCCAAGGGTACACACCTCTCCCACATCAATCCAGCCTTTCCTTCAGGAAAGACTGAATAGAAGGCAGCTTTGCAGGTTGAGTAAACCTGCACTGGCAGTAACAGTTGTCAGGTTGTCCAGGAAAATTGGCAAAAAAGGGTGTAACGCTGGTTCCTAACTGCCTCTTCCAGTGAATAGATCGAGGTTGGCTTAATTGTTTACAGTGGAGTTAATGGAAACGAAACATTTATGGTAATGGCTAGAATGCCGTTTGGGTAGAATGCCGTTTGTGTAATGCATGACCCTCCAGATATTTTGGCCTACAGCTCACATCAGCTCTTGTCAGCATA